GAGAATTGAATGAACATGGTATACTTCTGCAAAATATGTTTATTAATCAATGTGTGCTATTAATCAATCGTGTGCTAGGAACCTTTCAGAGATAAATCCTCTAATTAGACTAGTATAAAAAAACCCACAGCAGGAGGCAGTAGTCTGCTTCAGACAAGGTTCAACTTTCTTTCAGTTTAACCTTCATCTCGTTACAGACTTCTGAATCTTAATTTAATTACAATTCCTTAAATGTTTTCTGATATCATATCTCAATCTCTCTGTTCTGTATCTTTTCATGGTTTCTTTTTTGTCACGGGACCTGGGGATAGAAGATTTGTTCCAGTGTCCATTAAAATTCCCATTACCTGCAATGCAGTATGTTCTATAAAAGAAACAAACCTCCTTCAAGTGAAATAAACTACTGCTGCACTCTTTTTAGAGCAACAAAAATCTTTATAGATTATTTTTCTAAGTGTCACGCATCTCCTTCAAAGTCACAAGTCGCTATTATCAATTAATGTATTCAATAATCTCATTTTCAATTCACATGCAGGCCACACAGGGTCTGTGCTCATCCTGGCAGATGCTTGAAAGCTTTGTCTTTCTGAGATGAAATGTTGCCTTGTATATGATGGGGGTAGTAAAGGGGGTGATTCAGGAGCAGAAAGACATGTTAAAGTGCAGCACCTGAGGCCTTGTTTTCTGAATTTACAGTCTCAGACTGGCAGTCGTATAAATGAGTGATGCTCTGTGATGTTCTTTTCGAAGCAGGCTACGAAATTGGCAGGGAGTCTTCAGTTTTGTGCTGATGTGTCCAGAATTCAAATAATTTGATTCTTGGATATAATGACAGTGGGATGCACAGTATTACCTTGAGAAAAGAGATGGGAGAGACAGCTGCTGTATCCTGTATTGAATTAACAACCAATTCCCATTTACTCTCTCCACTGAAAACTCTATTATGCGGGGTTCTTATTGCCCTTATTCAAGGGCATGGAATTAAAAAGTGATATCGATGGTAATGCTCTCAACTTCCTACCATGACATTGAATAATGGGGACAAAGAAGGGAAATCTTGAATGATGATATGCCTTTTAAAATACTGCTGATATTGAAAACATCTAAAGGACAATGCATTTGAATATCAGCTGATAAAGTCATATTCAGATTATTATGCTTTTTTTTCTCTATTACTTTATATAATTTTGCTTTTATTTTTGTCATTGTTTTTGAAATATTTCGTTTTCCTAGAATTTCAGGAGATAGGAATATGTACTGTGAAGAATATACTTGAGGATGAAGGTGAAGTGTTGGTTGCAAAATTCCAGGAGAAATCTGTTCTCTCTTCTCCTGAGGAGTAAATATTTTAGCCATATTTCCCTAAATTACATATGAAATATCTTCTGATTTGGGAACAAAACATAGATCTTGGTCTTGTTAGTACAAAACCACAAGGCCTCTCTGAACTAGAGAGACCACTACCTAATCTCAACCCCAGGGTTAATGAGGCTGCTTACACTCAATTTTCAGTCAGATCTGAAAATGTGAGTCAGATATGAGGTGGGATCACCAGAATAACTGTGCAGTCTGCCTGAGTCAGGTTAAAATTGCAGCATAAGGGGATTAGGGAATAAGTGTCAAAACTTTTATCTGCAAGCATCTGGATTCTGGTCACATCAATGCTATCTTCATACTGGTGTAATTCTGTGACTTCTGCTACACCGTCATACTGTATGAGATCAGAATGAGGCTGAAAACCTCTTTAATAGCAATTCTGAAAAGTCTAAATCGCTGTTTACTTTGTCAAAGCGAATCTCATTTTATCTCCCGTTGCCCTTAGCATAGTCATAAATGTCAGCAGAACATTACCTACTATTTAAAATACATGACATTCATGCAGAGATCCTCAGCTGTCAGGTCCGTATTAGAGCTCCAGGCTCCCCAGCGCATGACAGTCCCTTTGACACCAGTTTGTCTCCATATGCCACTAATAGGGGACTACAGGGAGATGGGCTTTATGGCTCATCGCTATCTTCCTTCAAATTGTCTTTTTGTGTTCATGGAGGTGCAAGCGCTCCTCAGCCCTGCTCCTCCAGGGCTGCTGCCAGGGTATTTGTACCTAGGGAAAGGAGAAGTGTGGAAGAAGAGGAGCTGTGCAGGAGGCACAGCAACAGTGTGACAGGGTACCTGGAAGGCTTTAAAGGCACCTGCCACTCTGTGTTGTACACGATACCTGTATTTCCCTTGTTCTGGGTGCACAGCCCTGTTGCCTGTGCTGGCCTGGGTGTACTTTAGGCCAAGTTACAGCAGCTGCCTGTGGCCTCCAGAGGTCAGCAGATCACTTGAGAAAAGCAGAACTGCAGGGCACCGAGCCTCCTCCCGCCAAGCACAATCCCCTTTTGTCCCCTCGCTTCCAAACTTTGAAGCTTTCTGCCCCCAACACTGATTGTGACAACAAAGCAAAAAAAAAAAAAAAAGCGCTTTCAGAAAGGCCATTTTAAAAGTCAAAATGTTGACATTGGTCAATACTACCGCTCGTATGAGAGATCCTGTAAGTGACAAATTTACTGAAAAGAATCTTACAAATAGATATCCATGTGTTTAGATGCTCCTACTTACACTTTAGTACTGCTGGGGTTAATGCACATACCAACCATCTTCTGAGTGGACCATCAGACTTGTTCAGTTTTTTGTTACGAGCTGGACACTTGAATACAACATGCACTTGCAGGGACGCTCTCAAAAAGGATGAAGTAGAACAAAGAAGAGGAGTAGCGGTTATCAGAGGTGTGGAGCAGTTTCGTGCTACATGGAACTTCGACTGTCTCGTAAACAAAAAAGTTGGAGGGATAAGTCTTTAAAGTCAAGTAGAGTGCAAAGAAAGTCTACAGAAAATGACTGATCATTATCTCCCACAACATGATGGGCATCTAGTGAAGTTATCAGGGAGCAGATTTTAAAATAAAAACATTGTGGAATTAAATTGTAAAGATTATTGCTTTAGGGCATTACAGAGGCTGGAGGTGTAGAAAAAGAGGCACTAGGCAAACTCACCCAGACCAGGTGTCTGAACTGCTAGTTAAGCAGAGGAGTCTCAACACAAGCTCCAAGGCAGTTCCTGCAAGCTGGAGAGGCTTTGTGAAGAGCATCTCATTCCCTGCTGCCCTAAGCGGACACTGCCTTTCACCGTTGGCTGTATAATGCCTAATGTCCACTTCTGTCCAGACCAAGCATGTGTCTCATATTCTTAATATTGCTGTTGAGATAAGAAACTCTCTTGTAGTTCAAGAATGAAAGGGGCAACTGCCTTTGCAAGAAGGGCTCTGAATTTAATTCCAACACTTACACGTATTGATTGATCTAGTTTTATTATACTGGATTGAACAATCCAGGATCATATACCTTTCTTGGAGACCCTAATCCTTCATGGCCTCTTCTAACATTAGATGGGCTCTGTCTTTTTGTTGCAAAGGAATCCCCAAATGGTCTTCTCTGTGTGTCAGCCAGCTACAAAACAACTTTATAAGCACCCAAGAACCTCAGTGTCACCCATTAGCATCTGATTTCTCCTTGAATAACTTTACAGAGCTTACTCAAACCAGTGAATGTTTTCCTATTACTGGTTTGGAACACACCCTGAAGCAAATCAGATATGTGTCAGCTGTAGTCCAAATGTAGAAACTGTGCTACAAAAAAAATAAAAATAAAAACCACCACTCAAATCTTCTGTTATTTTTATTAAAGCTGCAGAGACTTACTACACACAACAAATATTTTATCGATATAATCTAAGTTAATAAAATAGTTGAACAACTCTTTAGATCTATATTTGTATAGAAATGATCTGTGGAACATCTCATCTTGAAACAGCAGTGCCTGAAAACAAATATTCATAGAAGATGCACTGTTCATTCTCACAGGAAAAAAAAAATCCATGCAAAAATAATCCCTACCCTCCTCCTGCTTTGTCTCCTATCCAAAGTGTAAGGTCTTGTAGAATAATCACATCAATGACTGGCCTTTTTTTTTCCCCTGGTTTCCCTCTTCATGTCTACATTAGGAGCTATTGTCTAAATTGGGTAACTAAAAAAAGAGATGAAAAATCAGTTGTACAGTCCTAGTCGGCAGGTGACAAGGTTATAACATTTCTTTACACCAGTCACTACCGTATTTTGAGAATTCATTGTCACGTTGTGTTTGTTCCTCAAATTTTGCCTACAGGGCTGATGTCAGTTATTGTCAATATGCCTTTTTTAAAAAAAAAACAGAAGTCAGTGTATCTACTATTGCTTCAGTCTTCTTTCTTCACTTAAATGTAGTTTAAATTCTACGTAGTGCTGCCTGAAAAGGGCCTACTCTGTGGTAAAACAAAGCGCATGGCTCAAGTGCTTATCATCTCCTCGCTGCAGCTACGCATCTGTGTCACCCGTGAGATGTCTTTTAGAGGCTATGAGGCATGTTCTTTGCTATATCATCCCATTTATCTTAGTCCACTCATAGATGTCCTGTTCACATACTATGTCTGAGTTGATGAGGAGATATCTGTCCCCAACGCAGAAATGCTTCTGGCAGGCAGCGCATTTGAAGCATTCCAGGTGATAAACTTTGTCCTTCACTCGCATGGTCATCTCATAAGCTCGGATTCGCTTGTCACAGGAGGCACAGAGGCCATCTTGGCCAAAGAGCCTAAAACAACAACAACAACAGAGCAGTAAGCGGATTTCTATTGCCAGAGAGATGGGGAAAAAGTAATTAAAAAAAGGACACAACATCAGCATCTTGTTCCATTAGTCACAGTATTGACAAGGTACAGAGGTCACATGGAAAGCTGCTGAGCAGAGCTCTAAACTTTGTGCCACCTAAACCTGAGGTAGCAAGTTCAAGGTCCTCACCTATTTTCAATACAACTGATTTTTGTGATCAATGGTCTTATCCTGAAAGTGCTGAGCAGCTTCAGTAGAGTAAAGGTTCTCTGAATCACACTGTATATTTATGCCATGCCAATACTTGCTTCTACTTATACAATCAATGGAAATTACATTTCAGTTGGTAAATTTTGCCTGTCTTCAGCTGTTGCTATCCTACAGTAAGCTAAGAAATGCTGTGATTTAATGTCCCACAATGTTTTTGTTGCCTCTGTTTTTGAGAATCTTTCACACTCAAACATTTTTATATACTGAAATCACTCCTGCTCTGTTTCAGAAGGATACATACTAAGACCCTCTAGACACCCATGTTAGCCCAAATAATTTTATGATCTGGATTGCTCTTTCATTTCACATAAAGAAACCTTGCTGAGATCATTATTATTGTGTTTGCTATTAAAAGGAGCTGCTAATGAATGCTCTGCTTAGCCCTCTCGCAGCCTGCGCCACCACACAGGATGGCACAGTCTCACATGCCCAGCTACACAGCCCGCACTACCACATACGATGGCACAGTCTCACATGCCCAGCTACACATGGTGACAGCACAGATGGCCACCTTTCATGCAGTCTGCTGAGTGCAGAGTTTATAAGACCAATCATTAATAAATAATATGAACATATTGTTTTCTTCTTATAAGAAGAAAAAAGAAAAGGTGTGTGTAGGGGGAGAAATGAAATATTACATGTTCAAAGTATATCCATATTAAGGTTGACTTCTAAGTTTCCTTGATTCTGGAAATCACTTTTCCATCTCCTACAATTTTCTTGCATATACTGCATTTGCTTCATATCGCCTTCTGAGAGGGAGGAAGAATAACATCTAAATTGTCATCTACTTAAGGGGAAAACACTTAATTTCTTTTGTCTACCAGGAGAGGTCAGTGTTCACTTGTGCTGAAAGTAATAAAAGGTTACACAAAGCTGCAAATTTTCTTAGAAGATACTGCACGTCACATTACTCAGTAAATAAAAACATTCAATTTCACTTCAGGAAAATATTAATTGTATCCCCATATGATTTATTGCTTCCATTTCAAGATTAAAAGAATTTGGAAAGTTCACGGACAGAATGTAGTGTATGCAGAGTGTTTATATTTGTCTCATAAGCAGAACTCAGTTTTTCAATTTCTGCTTGGCAAAATTTCCATTGGAATGGCTTTGGAAGACAATAATTAAGAATTCATTTGAGTTTTTGTTTTAGTTTTTACTGGCAGATAAAGTAGACATCAATAAAGTAGCTGAAAAAACATGAGATACCAAGTTATTCTATTCCACATACTTCCTGTTATAAGGGATCCTGGGAAGGAACAGCATACAGCCAGTGCAGCAGAGATCAATACATTTAATTGTAATCAAGAATATAAAGATCCAATTTGTTGGGAAATGTATAAATCTTAATATAATTTTTCTACTTACACGTTTTGCCAAATCAGATAAAATTATTTTTCATTAACATCTCTCTCCTTAACGAGTGAATCTGTAGGATCTGATTTGGCAAAATGTGTAAGTTCCTGTCTATTCAGGTCCAGTCTTAAGAACGACAAAAACCTACAGGGCCCAAGCTGGCAGGATCAAGCTTTCCCGTGCCGAGCGGTCCCTTTGCAGTAAACACGCAGCACGTGCTGTCTTTCTGCTGGAACTGCTCTAGGGAATTTTACCCGTGATGCCCACGGGGGCACAGGTCGGTCCACATCTGAAAGGCAGCTCCTTCAGACACCACGCGAGCGCGGCAGCCCCGCTGATCACTGTGAGCAAGGACCTCTTACTAGGGTGGTATTACTGGCAAAACGAATTGAATTCCTTTGCCTTGAATTCCATATTCTTAAGTGAGACAGCTAAATGATCTTTCATCAGTAGCTGTCCTTGGCACCTGATTTTATATACACAGAAGCACAGAACCACTTAAAACCATGCAAGGGAACTGGCTTACTGTCAGCTCGGAGGGAAGAATCATTCTCACTGAAATCCATCACCCTTTCCCAGTTCCCTCCTAAGAAAAGTGCTGGGACAGCACAGTTCGCTTGGAGCTATCAGCTGGACCAGCATCACTTAGCAAATGCTGAACTGGGCCTGCTGCCGGCCCTTACACTCAGGAGGTAATAAATTGAATCCCTCACGGGTCTTTACTCCCTGCCTCTACATTCATTCCATCAATGAGCAAACCCGAAACGCGAGGAAGAAGAGCAAGGGCAGTAGCACACGTGGCCTGGGGAAGGTGCATACCTGAGATAGTCCCTTCTGCAGAGCTTCCTGCCCAGCTTGTAGTACAAGCGCCTGCCCACTTCTCCGAGCCTGCAGCCGCACAGGTCGCAGCTGAGGCAGTCCTCGTGCCAGTACTGATCGATGGCCTTCAGGAAATAGCGGTCCCCGATGTTCTGCTGGCAGCCGCCACATGTCAGCAGCGAAGGCGGAATTTGGAGCACCTCGTCCACTGGCTCCCTGAGAGAATGAAAGGAGCGTTGGAGAAGGCCAATGTTCATTGAAACCGGGCAATCGAGAAGGAGGAGAAGGAAGAACAAAATGAAAGGTTGGCCAAGTTGGAGTCCTCATTTTTTTCCTCTCAGCAATGGGAATGATTTATGCCTTTCTAACATGAGGGGGAACAGAACTTCACTCAGTGAATACACGCAACAGATGAGACTGCTGCTCAACTGATTTTAAGTTTTACTGTTTAATTTTACCTGATCTTACTGCTTCTTTACACCCTTCTGCTGAAGGCAGACATGAATGCAGACAGGAACCCCAAGAGATGGGTCTCATCGTGGTTCTATGCCAGCAAAACTCTGGTGATGTCAGTTAACTGGTATTTACTCATCTCTGTGCAAAAAGAGGTGCGCAACAAAACTCTGGTGATGTCAAACAGTTAACTGGTATTTGCTCATCTCTGTGCAAAAAGAGGTGCGCAGCTTTCCCGTGATATTGCACCAGCTATGAATGAATGATACTTTTTCCATTTTAAGAAAGCTATGAGGTCTAGGACGGTTCTGAAAATACCAGGGGCTAAAGCAATATATATATATTTCTTAAGGAGTTCTCTTCCTTACCTCTTTGTGCAATTTTACAGCTCCTGCCAAATCAGCAAAAATTGAAAAAAAGGCATTTGAGCTCAGTTCTGCAGGGTTTGCAGCGACCTGGCACTGCCACCAAGGGCCTCATCCAAACCACAGGGAAGTCAATAAAAAGACTATTAGATCAATTCTTTAAGCACTTGCTTAATTTTAAACCTGTGGCTACCAACAGGGCAGTCGTTTGTTTGCCCGTTTATGCTCATCTGCTTTGCTGGATCTTGACCGAGCAGCTCGGCGCCGGGCAGACGTGGCCCCGCCGCGCCAGCCTGCACCCATGGGAGGGCATCGGGCCACGCACCCCTGGAGATGGCATTTGATCATAGCCCTTTTTTACTCTCCGGAGTTTGGACTGCTGTGCCCTACAAGTTTTGTTACAGCCTCCCACTCCTACCAGCTTTCTGCACTAAAACCGTGGGGTGCTCTGCTTGCAGGGAGACTCTCCTCATTCAAAGTTTTGGCTTTTGCACCGCAGGCCTCCTTTCCTGATGCATGGCCTCCACTCGGACGAGCTCAAAGAGCCCTCCGCTAGGACATGCAGCTACACCGGAACGGGCGTTATTATCCTTTTCTGGAAGCTTCAGATGTACCCCAAAAGATTTCCTCTTGGAGATGCTTCAGGAATCATGAGCCAGTTCTCCAAATGCCCTGCAGCCTGGAACAGGCTGTTTACGCAGAACAGAATTGCTGTTTTCAGCATTAGATTTTTGATGTTCAAAGATTTCTAAGCCAACACTTAGTGACTAGAACATCCAGTAGGTAAATAAATAAATACTGCTAAAACTTTGTAGTTTAAGCCTGGATGCCATACACATAGGAAGTTAGATAATAATTTCTTAAACACAGCATGGAACTAAAAAAAAAAAAAAAAAAAAAAAAGTAACAAATGCAAAACATCAAAAATGACACGGCATGGCTTGACTTAATCCACATAAGAAACAGCCCATGTGCTCACCTGGGGCTTCAAGAGAAGGCCCCTGGGTGAACCAAATCACAAATAACTAAAGTTTCCTGAGAGTAATGTTTCAAGCCTTATCTGAAAATGGGGATTTTGCAATTTTTATCTCATTTCTTGTCACAATACTGGACAAGTATAAGTGCAGTTACACAGATGCAGAGCACTGAAGTGACCCTGTGGTGTAACTCCGAGCTAAGACACTGCTTGCACAGGCAGTGTTGGTGACTGCCCGCGCTGGCTCCGGACGGAGGGGATGGCAGCTGAATCCTGACTGGAAAACAGGGTCACGGTGCAAGAACTGGTCCACCCGCCGTGCAGGTGAAAAGCAGGGAGGAAAATTCTGATGCTCTACGTGCTTCCCAGCAGGAAGCAGCCTTCCCACCTGCCCCACCGCAGCGCTTCCCAGGAGCTCTGGAGAGCCGCAGAGCACAGATGTGTGGAAGCGGGGCACCCGCCAGAGAGCAGCCCTGGCCCTTCGCTGCGATCAGCGAGCAGGCAGAGCAGCCGTGGGGCAGCCAGGGAGTCTGCACGGGGAGCAGCTCCGCTCGGGAAAGCGGCGTCTCCTCCACCTGCCCGAGGCGCCTCCCGCGGCGGGAGGTCGCTCCCGGCGGGAATTCCCCGGGGTCGGGAGCTCCCGCAACCGGCGGCCACTCCACACGGGGCCGGGGCCGCCCCTTGGGACCCC